TTTTCGGAGGGGACATGTACACTTTTCAGGGCACTGATGATCAGTGTTTTTTTGCCACCTGTTTGTTTTTTTTTTTTTTTTTTGCCACGTTTTTTTTTTTTTACATATCAGTTTTTTTTTCTTTTGCCTTTCAATGTCACCCGTCAGTGCCAATCAGTTTTTATCAGTGCCAGTCAGTTTTGCCTTACAGTGCCATATATTTTGTCATGTATCAGTTTTTTTTTTTTATTAGTTTTTCACTTTTTTCTCATTAGCGCACATCATTGAAGGAGAAAAATCACTTTTTTTTTTTTTTTGTATAACAAAAACTAAGAAAAAAACTTTTTTTTTTTCAAACTTTTTTTGGTTTTCGGTTTGTTTAAGAAAAAATAAAAAATCCCCGAGGTGATTAACTACCACCAAAATAAAGCTCTACCTGTCTCAAAAAAATGATAAAAATTTTATATTACAGTTTGCATGACCGCGCAATTTCATTTTTTTTTTTTTTTTTTTGACAGCGCTGAAAGCTGGAAATTGGCCTGGGCGGAAGGGGGTAGAAGTGCCCTGTTTTTTAGGAAGGGGGTAGAAGTGTTTTTTTTAGGCAGGAAGGGGTTTAGTGCCCTTAGGCAGGAAGGGGGTTTTTTTTTTTTTTTTTTTTTTTTTTTTTTAATTAATTTTTGTGCCCTGTAGGCAGGAAGGGGGTAGAAGTGCCTGGTAGGCGGGAAGGGGGTAGAAGTGTCCTGTAGGCAGGAAGGGGGTAGAAGTGCCCTGTAGGCAGGAAGGGGGTAGAAGTGCCCTGTAGGCAGGAAGGGGGTAGAAGTGCCCTTTTAGGCAGGAAGGGGGTAGAAGTGCCTTTTAGGCAGGAAGGGGGTAGAAGTTTTTTGTAGGCTTTTAGGGGGTAGAAGTTTTAGGCAGGAAGGGGGTATTTTTTTTTTTTTTTTAGGCAGGAAGGGGGGTAGAAGTGCCCTGTAGGCAGGAAGGGGGTAGAAGTTTTAGGCAGGAAGGGGGTAGAAGTGCCCTTAGGCAGGAAGGGGGTAGAAGTGCCTTTTTTTTTTTTTTTTTTTTTTTTTTAGAAGTGCCTTGTAGGCTGGAAGGGGGTAGAAGTGCCCTGTTTTTTTTTTTTTTTTTTTTTTTTTTTTTTTTTTTTTTTTTTTGTAGGCAGGAAGGGGGTAGAAGTGCCCTGTAGGCAGGAAGGGGGTTTTTTAGGTAAGTGCCCGTTGGGCAGGAAGGGGGTAGAAGTGCCCTGTAGGCAGGAAGGGGGTAGAAGTGCCTTTAGGCAGGAAGGGGGTAGAAGTTTTTTTGTAGGCAGGAAGGGGGTAGAAGTGCCTTTAGGCTGGAAGGGGGTAGAAGTGCCCTGTAGGCAGGAAGGGGGTAGAAGTGCCCTTTTAGGCAGGAAGGGGGTAGAAGTGCCTGTAGGCAGGAAGGGGGTGGAAGTGCCCTGTAGGCAAATTTTTTTTTTTTTAGAAGTGCCCTGTAGGCAGGGAAGGGGGTAGAAGTGCCCTGTTTTTTTTTTTTTTTTTTTTATTTTTTTAAAAAGAAAATTGCTCTTTAGGTGCACTTTAACTCTTACGCTTCAGGGCCTTTTTTTGTATGCCTTGGGTCAAATTTCTATTTTATTTTTTTTTTTTTTTTTATTTATTTAATAAATGATGATACTTAATAATAAAATTAATTTAATTAATGTATTTATTTCAATGTTCCTTAAGCCCCTAATGTTGCTCTTATATTTTTCTTATCCCTGGGCTGCCAGGGTCTTTTCTGCTTTTTTTTTTTGCACACATTAGATCATATTTTTATTTCCAATTATTATTTATTATTATTATTATTATTATATATGTATTTAATAACATTAATTTTAATTATTATTTACCTAATGTCTATTATTGGTTGTCATTTGTATTTTTTTAGTAAGTTATAATTTTTTATTATTATTATTATTATTATTTACTTGTATTAGTATTATTAATCCTCCTTATAGGATACTGTTTTGTCATTTATCACTGAGTCAGATTTCGATGTATTTATTGTTATTTATTATTAATATTTATTTAATATTTATTATTATTATTATTATTATTATTTTTTTAATTTCTATTTTTTTTTTTTTTTTTTTGATGCTCTTTAGGTGCACTTTAACTCTTACGCTTCAGGGCCTTTTTTTTTTTGCATTGGGTAAAATTTCTATTTTTTTTTTTTTTTATTTTTTTTTTTTAATAAATGATGATACTTAATAATTAAATTAATCATTATTAATGTATTTATTTCAATTTTCCTTAAGCCCCTAATGTTGCTCTTATATGGGCCTTATCCGCTTCTTTTCTGCTTTTTTTTTTTTTGCAAACATTAGATCAAATTTTTATTTCTAATTTTTTTTTTTTTTTATTATTATTATTATTATTACTACAATTATTATATATGTATTTCATAACATTAATATTTTTTAATTATTATTTACCTAATGTCTAATATTAGTTGTCATTTGTATTTTTTTAGTAAGTTATTATTATTATTAATATTATTATTAGTATTATTAATCCTCCTTATAGGATACTGTGTTGTCTTTTATCACTGAGTCAGATTTCGATATATTTATTACTATTAGTTATTATTAATATTTATTTAATAATATTTTTTATTATTATTGTTATTATTTAATTAATTTCTATTTTCTTTAAAAAGAAAATTATGCTCTTTAACTCTTACGCTTCAGGGCCTTTTTCTGCATGCACTGGGTCAAATTTCTATTATTATTTGTTAATTTTATTTAGTTAATAAATGATGATGCTTAATAATAAAATGAATCATAATTAATGTATTTATTTCGATTTTCCTTAAGCCCCTAATGTTGCTCTTATGTGGGCCTTATCCCTTAGGCTGCCAGGGTCTTTTCTGCTTTTTTTTTTTTTTTTGCACACATTAGATCAGATTTTTACTTCTAATTATTTATTATTTATTACTATTATTATTACTGTTAATTATATATGTATTTAATAACATTAATAATTTTTAATTATTATTTACTTAATGTCTATTATTAGTTGTCATTTGTATTTTTTAATAAGTTATTATTATTTTTTATTAGTAACAATCATCATCATCATAAATAATAATGATTGATGTATTTATTTTTATTTTGTTTATTTATGTATTCATTTATTTCAGGTGCTTATATAGCGCCGGCAATTTACACAGCACTTTACATATATTTTGTACATTCACATCAGTCCCTAACCCTCAATGGATGTAATCTAAGTTCCCTAACTCCATTCATACATACACATACTAGCCAATTAACCTACCAGCATGTGTTGGAGGAAACCGGATTACCCGGAGGAAACCCACGCAGGCACAGGGAGAACATGCAAACTCCAGGCAGGTGGTGCCCTGGTTGGGATTCAAAACAATGACCCAAGTACTGCCACTGTGCTTAAATCCCAATGTTGCTCTTTAGATTGCCTAAACCCTTTTTTTTCTAATTATTTACTATTATTATTTATAATTTATTTGATCAATTTAATAATTTATTACTATTATTATTACTATTAATAATAATGATTAATGTTTTTATTTCTATTTTCTTTACCCCCCCTCTTCTTCTTTCTTCTTCTTCTTCCTTCTTCTTTCTTCTTCTTCTTTCTTCTTTCTTCCTCTTTCTTCTTCTTTCTTCTTCCTTTCTCTTTCTTCTTTTTTCTACTTCTTTCTCTTCTTCTTTCTTCTTCGCCTTTCTTCTTCTTTTTTCTTCTTCGCCTTTCTTCTTCTTTTTTCTTCCTCTTTCTTCTTCTTTTTTCTTCTTCTTCTTCTTCCTTCTTCCTTCTCCTTCTTTCTTCTTTCTTCCCTCTTCTTCCTTCTTATTTCTCCTTCCTTCTTATTTCTTCTTCTTCCTTCTTCGTCTTTCTTCTTCTTTCTTCCTCTTCTTTCTTCTTCCTTTTTCTTTCTTCTTCCTTCTTCTTTTTTGTACCTCTTCCTTCTTCTTCTTCTTCTTCTTCTTCTCTTCTTCTTCCTTCTTCCTATTCAGTCTTCCTCCTCCCTCTTCCTCTCCATCTTCCTCTTCCTTTTACTTCCTCCTCCTTCTTCCTTCTCCTCCTTCCTCCCTCTTCCTTCTTTCTTTCTTCCTCCTTCTTTCTTCCTCCTTCTTTTTCTTCCTCCCTCTTTCTTCCTCCTTCTTTCTTCCTCCTTCTTTCTTCCTCCTTCTTTCTTCCTCCTTCTTTCTTCTTCTTACATTGGAGGTCAGTGGGAAGAAAGTCCCTTACATTGGCGATCAGTGGGAAGAAGAATGTCCCTTACATTGGGGATCAGTGGGAAGAATGTCCCTTACATTGGTGGTCAGTGGGAAGAATGCTCCTTACATTGGTGATCAGTGGGAAGAATGAATGTCCCTTACATTGGTGATCAGTGGGAAGAATGTCCCTTACATTGGTGGTCAGTGGGAAGAATGTCCCTTACATTGGTGGTCAGTGGGAAGAATGTCCCTTACATTGGTGATCAGTGGGAAGAATGTCCCTTACATTGGTGATCAGTGGGAATAATGCACCTTACATTGGTAGTCATTAAGAAGAATGTCCCTTACATTGGTGGTCATTAAAAATAATGTCCCTTACATTGGTGGTCAGTGGGAAGAATGCATCTTACATTGGGGGTCAGTGGGAAGAGTGCCCCTTAAATTGGTGGCCAGTGGCCAGTGGAAAGAATATCCTTTACATTGGGGGTCAGGGGAAGAATGTCCCTTACATTGTGAGTGGGAAGAATGTCCTTACATTGGTGGTCATGGGAAGAATGTCCCTTACATTTGTGATCAGTGGGAAGAATGTTCCTTACATTGGTGATCAGTGGGAAGAATGTTCCTTACATTGGTGATCAGTGGGAAGAATGTCCCTTACATTGGTGATCAGTGGGAAGAATGTCCCTTACATTGGTGATCAGTGGGAAGAATGTTCCTTACATTGGTGATCAGTGGGAAGAATGTCCCTTACATTGGGGGTCAGTGAGAAAAATGCTCCTTACATTGGAGGTCAGTGGGAAGAATGTCCCTTACATTGGTGATCAGTGGGAAGAATGTCCCTTACATTGGTGATCAGTGGGAAGAATGTCCCTTACATTGGTGGTCAGTGGGAAGAATGACCCTTACATTGGTGGTCATTGGGAAGAATGCCCCTTACATTGGGGGTCAGTGGGAAGAATGTCCCTTACATTGGTGGTCAGTGGGAAGAATGTCCCTTACATTGGTGATCAGTGAGAAAAATGCTCCTTACATTGGAGGTCAGTGGGAAGAATGTCCCTTACAATTGGTGATCAGTGGTGGTCAGTGGGATCAGTGGGAAGAATGTCCCTTACATTGGGGGTGAGTGGGAAGAATTCACCCTTTTTATATATCTAAAAAGATTATTTGTGTTAGTAGTTACTTACCTGAGTGTCAGAAACTGATCATTGCTCAAGGATCCCCTAGCAACCTTTGGAGGAACCCTAGGGCACCACAGAACCCTGGCACCAACCAATAGTTGCGCCTCAGAAATTTGTGGTCTCTGCTTAGGGAACCCCTAGCAACCTCTGGAGGAACCCTGCTTGAGGAACATTGCTTTAAAAGGTACAAATATAAATAATATTTTTCAGGGGAAATTCAAGTCAAAGGGTAGATTTTTCGAGGTGCTGCTTAGTCCCAATTGACCTTCCTACAGGTTTCCTATAAAATGTAAAATCTTCAGTTTTTCACTCAAGGTCCACTTTAAGATATGAGACGGGTAATGGCTCTGCTGGGGGGAACATTTGGAGAGGTAACGTGTTAAATCCTTTGCCCATACAAATCTTTCCTCCACCTGCTGGGTTTATATTCATTCATGTGCACCAACATAAAACACAAGTCACATTATCACGCGTACTCTTCTGATAAATTCGACCCATTTAACATCCAAATGAAAGTACAAGCAATGTTTCCTTACAAAGGCTTGATTTCAGCCGTACTGGTGATTTGTGCTACCAATTAAATGCATCCCTCCCGAGATATGATCTTCTCATATTATATAAACGGGAGGACTTTTTTTTCTCCTCTGTAACAAGATTCTATGGCACTAAACAATAGGCTATATGGAAAAAAAAAGACCCATGACTTTAAAGTTACATACAAAAATGTTGTAAAATGAAAGGTGTCATTGAATGGCCTGGTCCTTCGCTCTTTTTGATGAGATCTCAAAATACAACTTCAAGCCATCATTGACATGGACCTCACGAAAGCCTTTAAACACACTGAAAGCTAGTTTGCTGCCACATCTCCCTAATGCAGCCACAAGCTTGAGTCCACCAAATTGGAACAAAGCCTACTAGGACTGAGTGGATCCAAAGGGTCTCCAACATTGTGGACTTCAAATAGGGACTGGCCACTTACAATGATAAATACAGACAAAATCGGTGGTATATGCGCAACCTAAAGCCAGTATAGCTCCTCTTTCAACTGGGATGAAGTAGCCTGCTCTCGAACCTTGGATCCAGCCTCTAGGGAGCCAGCTCAACCCTTCTAAGCTCCATGACTTTCTTTTTCTGCTGTTCGAGCCAAAGTTATTTAGGTGTCTCCTAGTGTGAGGAGATGTTTCCTTCTGTAGTATTTTATGGCCAGTTCCTCCACCTAATCTTTCACTACATTGGCAGAAGCCCACTGTTCCCACTAGGTTTGAATTGATCCAATGGGTCTTTGATTATGGACTTCAAACAGTGAGTGGCCACTTGCAACAATCAATAGGACAAACTCTATGGTATTTGGGCAACCTGAAAACCACTACAGCTCCACTATCAACCAGGATGAAGTAGTCCATTCTGGAAGCTTGGGTCCAGCTTCTAGTGAGCCAGCCCAGCCACACTGGAACAAAGCCTACTAGGACTGAGTGGATCCAAAGGGTCTCCAACATTGTGGACTCCAAACAGTGGGTGGCCACTTATAATGATAAATATAGGACAAAATCGGTGGTATATGCGCAACCTAAAGCCAGTATAACTCCTCTTTCAACTGGGATGAAGTAGCCTGCTCTTGAACCTTGGATCCAGCCTCTAGGGAGCCAGCTCAACCCTTCTAAGCTCCATGACTTTCTTTTTCTGCTGTTCGAGCCAAAGTTATTTAGGTGTCTCCTAGTGTGAGGAGATGTTTCCTTCTGCAGTATTTTATGCTCAGTTCCTCCACCTAATCTTTCACTACATTGGCAGAAGCCCACTGTTCCCACTAGGTTTGAATTGATCCAATGGGTTTTTGATTATGGACTTCAAACAGTGAGTGGCCACTTGCAACAATCAATAGGACAAACTCCATGGTATTTGGGCAACCTGAAAACCACTACAGCTCCAGTATCAACCAGGATGAAGTAGTCCATTCTGGAAGCTTGGGTCCAGCTTCTAGTGAGCCAGCCCAGCCACACTGGAGCAAAGCCTACTAGGACTGAATGGATCCAAAGGGTCTCCAACATTGTGGACTTCAAACAGTGAGTGGCCACTTGCAACAATCAATAGGACAAACTCTATGGTATCTGGGCAACCTGAAAACCACTACAGCTCCACAATCAACCAGGATGAAGTAGTCCATTCTGGAAGCTTGGGTCCAGCATTTAGAGAGCCAGCCCAGCCCTTCTAAGCTCCATGACTTTCTTCTCTGCTAATCGAGCCAAAGTTATTTAGGTGTCTAGTAGTATGAGGAGATATTTCCTTCTACAGTATTATACAGTATCCCACTTCCTCCACCAGATCTTTCACTATATTGGGAGAAGTCCGCTATTCACACTAGATTTAAGTGGATCCAAAGGGTCTTTGGCGTTATAGACTCCAAACAGTAGGTGGTCACTTGCAACAATCAACGTGACAAATTATATGGTATTTGGACAACCTGAAAACCACTACAGCTCCACTATCAACCAGAATGAAGTAGTCCATTCTGGATCCTTGGGTCCAGCCTCTGAGTGGCTAGTCCAACCCTTCTAAGCTTCACGACTTTCTTTTTTTTTTATAGCCAAAAGTTTCCAGGTATGTCGTATGTTGAGGAGATTTTTTTTTTTGGTCAGTGGAAAGAATGTCCCTTACATTGGTGGTCAGTGGGAAGAAAGAATGTCCCTTACATTGGTGGTCAGTGGGAAGAATGTCCCTTACATTGGTGGTCAGTGGGAAGAATGTCCCTTACATTGGTGGTCAGTGGGAAGAATGCCCCTTACATTGATGGTCAGTGGGAAGAATGTCTCTTACATTGGTGGTCAGTGGAAAGAATGTTCCTTACATTGGTGGTCAGTGGGAATAATTTCCCTTACATTGGGGATCAGTGGGAAGAATGCTCCTTACATTGGGGATCAGCGGGAAGAATGTCCCTTACATTGGTGGTCAGTGGGAAGAATGCTCCTTACATTGGTGATCAGTGGGAAAAATGTTCCTTACATTGGTGGTCAGTGGGAAGAATGTCCCCTACATTGGGGGTCAGTGGGAAGAATGCCCCTTACATTGGGGGTGGGAAGAATGTCCCTTACATTGGTGGGGAAGAATGCCCCTTACATTGGTGGCCCGTGGGAAGAATGTTCCTTACATTGGTGGTCAGTGGGAAGAATGTCTCTTACATTGGTGGACAGTGGGAAGAATGTCCCTTACATTGGTGGTCAGTGGGAAGAATGCTACTTACATCGGTGGTCAGTGGGAAGAATGTCCCTTACATTGGGGTCAGTGGGAAGAATGTCCCTTACATTCGGGGTCAGTGGGAAGAATGCCCCTTACATTGGTGGTCAGTGGGAAGAATGTCCCTTACATTGGTGGTCAGTGGGAAGAATGCTACTTACATTGGTGGTCAGTGGGAAGAATGTTCCTTACATTGGTGGTCAGTGGGAAGAATGTCCCTTACATTGGTGGTCAGTGGGAAGAATGCCCCTTACATTGGTGATCAGTGGGAAGAATGTCCCTTACATTGGTGGTCAGTGGGAAGAATGTCCCTTACATTGGTGGTCAGTGGGAAGAATGTCCCTTACATTGGTGATCAGTGGGAAGAATGTCCCTTACATTGGTGGTCAGTGGGAAGAATGTTCCTTAATGTCCCAGTGGGAACATTGTCCCTGGGGATCAGTGGGAAGAATGTCTCTTACATTGGTGGTCAGTGGGAAGAATGTCCCTTACATTGGTGGTCAGTGGGAAGAATGCTACTTACATTGGTGGTCAGTGGGAAGAATGTTCCTTACATTGGTGATCAGTGGGAAGAATGTCCCTTACATCGGGGATCAGTGGGAAGAATGTCCCTTACATTGGTGGTCAGTGGGAAGAATGTCCCTTACATTGGTGGTCAGTGGGAAGAATGTCTCTTACATTGGTGGTCAGTGGGACGAATGCCCTTACATTGGGGGTCAGTGGGAAGAATGTCCCTTACATTGGTGGTCAGTGGGAAGAATTACCCCCTTACAGATTGCTATAAAGATCAATGGTGTCAGTGGGAGCTTACCTGAGAGGCAAAAATTGCTCATTGCTCAAGGAACCCCTGGCAACCTCTGGAAGAACCCTGATTGAGAAACCCTGCTCTATGTTGAAAAGGTTGACAAAAAAGGCCGTTCTGCAGAATAATGGCGCTGACACCGAATCCATTGCCAAAAAGGAACTTTATTTGTGTGTTTTGTGCAGCCTCGTTTTCTTCCATACACGTCCATCGCTCGTGCTGTTTCACATTGTAACCGGAGAGATAAAGATTTTTTTTCGAAGGTGACATTGAAGAAATTTGTGCACATCCCGACTTACCCACAAGAGAGCACCATTGTCCACCTTTGGAGCGTCTTTCGCGGTATCCAGAGAACGCATTAAACAACCTCACTGCAACATTCAGTCAAAAAATAAACACGCAGAATACAAAAAAATGGGAATGGGGGGGGGGGGCTGCATTATAAATGAGCACTTGTGTAGAAATGTTTCTTATCGTGTTTTTATTGCGGTCACAAAATTGACAATGTAACTTAATTACACGTATCCTTTCCCCATCAGAGGTCGCTCACGCCCTTGGCCATGTTTCGCAGCATCAGCATTACATCAGCATGGCATCAATTAACCGGACTGCAACTCCGCCATTCATTTGCGAACTTCATTCATTTTTAAAATCGGTGCATTGTTTTAATTTACAAAAAAAATTTAAAAAATGCTTCATTTGCTTTTTAACGTAGGCAAATAAACGTGCGAAAATGTCTTTTTTTTTTTTTTTTTTTACTTTTTTTTTTAATACGAGGCAAATACGATATCAAAGAGACCCTGCCGCCGTCCGAAACAAAAAAAAATAAAAGCACAGAAACGTGAAATATTTAAAAGTGTTACTAAACCTACAACAGTAAAGTCAGTCCGTATATTATTATTATTATTATTATTACTATTATTATTACTATTATTATTATTAATATTATTATTATTATACAGGATTTATGGCGCCAACAGTTTGCTCAGCACTTTACAATATAAAGAGAGACAATACAGCAACAATACAAGAGGGTTAGGATGCAGTAAAGCGTGCTGGTTATACTCACTGTGCTCTGCTGGACGCTGATAGAAGTCACAAGACTGCTGATGAGAAAAGGTAGTTTATATTTTCTACAATAATTGCCATGCTGTGTGTACTGTGGGAGACCAGATATAGTGAATGCGGGGTCCGGGGAGAGCGGATATAGTGAATGCGGGGTCCGGGGAGAGCGGATATAGTGAATGCGGGGTCCGGGGAGAGCGGATATAGTGAATGCGGGGTCCGGGGAGCGGATATAGTGAATGCAGGATCCGGGGAGAGCGGATATAGTGAATGCAGGGACCGGGGAGAGCGATATATAGTGAATGCGGGGTCCGGGGAGACAAAATATAGTGAATGCTGGGTCCGGGGAGAGCGGATATAGTGAATGCAGGGTCCGGGGAGAGCGGATATAGTGAATGCGGGGTCCGGGGAGAGCGGATATAGTGAATGCGGGGTCCGGGGAGAGCGGATATAGTGAATGTGAGGGTCCGGGGAGAGCGGATATAGTGAACGCAGGGTCCGAGGAGAGCGGATATAGTGAATGCAGGGTCCGGGGAGATCGGATATAGTGAATGCAGGGTCCGGGGAGAGCGGATATAGTGAATGCAGGGTCCGGGGAGAGCGGATATAGTGAATGCAGGGTCCAGGGGAGAGCGGATATAGTGAATGCAGGGTCCGGGGAGAGCGGATATAGTGAATGCGGGGTCTGGGGAGAGCAAATATAGTGAATGCGGGGTCCGGGGAGAGCGGATGTAGTGAATGCGGGGTTCGGGGAGAGCGGATATAGTGAATGCAGGGTCCGGGGGAGATCGGATATAGTGAATGCAGGGTCCGGGGAGAGCGGATATAGTGAATGCAGGGTCCGGGGAGAGCGGATATAGTGAATGCGGGGTCCGGGGAGAGCGGATATAGTGAATGCGGGGTCCGGGGAGAGCAAATATAGTGAATGCGGGGTCCGGGGAGAGCGGATGTAGTGAATGCGGGGTTCGGGGAGAGCGGATGTAGTGAATGCGGGGTCCGGGGAGACCAGATATAGTAAATGCGGGGTCCGGGGAGACCAGATATAGTGAATGCGGGGTCCTGGGAGAGCAGATATAGTGAATGTGGGGTCCGGGGAGAGCAGCTATAGTGAAAGCGGGGTCCGGGGAGAGCGGATATAGTGAATGCAGGGTCCGGGGAGAGCGGATATAGTGAATGCGAAGTAATTCCACTTTTGTTGAGAACCCCCCCCCCCGGCTGAACAATATTTGTAGCAGATTCCTACCTTTTGTATAAATAGCTGTTTGCTTCACTTTGTCCTGTGCAGATTCTAAATGGGAGGGTTTGGGTCATTATCATTACCTGGTGCACTCTCAGTATTCAATAAGGAAAACTGCAGGGTCTGCATCCCTTTGGATTCTGATTCTGAATGGGAGGGTCTGGGTCATTATCATTACCTGGTGCACTCTCAGTATTCAATGAGGAAAGCTGCAGGGTCTGCATCCCTTTTGATACTGATTCTGAATGGGTATGTTGGTATTTATACAGCGTCACCAGGCTTGAGCCTCAGGATGGCCTCCGATGGAAGGGAAGGGTTTGCGGTGTACCGGGATGGCATTATAATAAGAAGAGCCCCACATTGCTGGTCTGAATACGGGAACGTTTCCTCAAGACAGGCATTGTCCCAACTCGCCAGGAACCTCTCCCTGTGCTATGTACTTTCCCTAGCCAGCAGGGTCTCCCTGAGCTATCCCTGACGCAGAAGATAGATAAGGTTTCTGATCAAGATGGCCGCCTGAGGTCTCCAGAGGTTGCAGCATACAAGTGGACAGCTGGCTTCTCTGAGATCCTGATGAAGTCCACAAGGGGACAATTCCCCTGCTGTAACAATGTCACAGTGCCACCTACAGGCACAGGTTTGCGTTGTCTCGAGATGGTACTATGATGCTGCTGAGAAGAGCCCAAGTTGCTGTTCTAGATACTGGGATGTTTCCTCAAGACAGGCATTGTACCAACTCACCAGGAACCTCTCCCTGTGCTATGTACAGTACTTTCCCTAGCCAGCAGCATCGAATCGGACACCTGTCTTCTCTGAGACCCTGATGAAGTCCACAAGGGGACAATTCCCCTAACAAAGTCCTCTCCATCTGTAACAATGGCACAGTGCCACCTAGAGGCACAGTTTTCTGTTGTACCAGGATGGTACTATAACGTTGCTGAGAAGAGCCCCACATTGCTGTTCTGGATACTGGGATGTTTCCTTAAGACATGCATTGTCCCTGAGCTGACCCTATCCACCGGGAACCTTGCCTGCACTGTGGACTTTCCCTCACCAGTGGGGTCTCCATCTCTGACCCATCACTCACTACAGGTGAGCCAGAATGACACAGGAGAACCTATATATAGGTTTCCAAGTCAACATGGCCACCTGAGGTGCTTGTCTAGATACTGGAACATTTCCTCCAACCAGGCATTGTTCCTGAGCTGACCCTTCTCACCAGGAACCTTTCCCTGCCCTATGCACGTTCCCTAGCCAGCGGGGTCTCTATCTTTGACCTACCACTTGTTCCAGGTGTGCCCAAATGATGCAGGAGACCCTATATAAGGTTTCTGATCAAGATGGCCACCTGAGTTCACCAGAGGTTGCAGCATCCAATCGGACACATGTCTTCTCTGAGACCCTGACGAAGTCCCCAAGGGGACACAGGGTCACCTGACACACCGGGACGTTTCCTCAAGACAGACATTGCCCCTGATGTGCCCCTACTACCCAGGAACCTTTCCCTGAGCTATGCACTTTCCTTATCCAGTGGGGTCTCTCTCCTTGACCTACCACTCACTCCAGGTCACCCAAATGATGTAGGAGGCCTTATCTATCTCAAGATGTCCGACTGAGGTCTCCAGAAGCTTGCAGCATTCAGTTGGACAGCTGGTCTCTCTGAAACCCTGACGAAGTCCACAAGGGGGACACAGTGCCACCTACAGGACGGAGGGGGAACATGCACCTGCCTACAGGTTTAACTCTTCACCGCTTTATCCAAAACCTAAAAATAAATAAAAATAAAGTAAGCATCCTGCAGCCCTTGATTTTACTTTTTGTTCCATTTCTCTTAGCCAGTTTCTTTTTAAGGAGGAGAACACCCAGCTATC